CCGGCCGCCCGCCCCCGGCAGCAGGCCTGAGCCCCCCGAGCCCAGCGGGAAGGGGAGCCCGCCTCGCTGAGTGAACCCCGCGCCCTGCCATGGCCGCGCCGCCCTTCCCTGCAGTTTAAGTTTCCCGAAATGGTCCTTTCGGGTCTTTCCCCTCGGGTGTGATACAGAGGCGCGGAGGGCGCAGATCGGTACGGGGTAGGGGCTGCGCCTCCTTCCCCCTCCGCTCCAACATGCCGTCCAAAGAGTCCTGGTCAGGGCACAGAGCGAATAGGTCTGCGGTCCACAACTCGAAGCAGGAGAGCCGTCAACAAGATTTGTTGATAGCAGCCTTGGGGATGAAGCTGGGTGCTCAGAAGTCGTCTGTGACAATCTGGCAACCTCTTAAACTCTTTGCTTATTCACAGTTGACATCGCTCGTCAGGAGAGCGACTCTGAAAGAAAATGAGCACGTTCCAAAATACGAGAAGATTCATAACTTCAAGGTAAGACATTATGCTACTTCTTTTTAAGGCACAGAGGGTGTCGTTTTTCTTTTAAAATGGGTCCAATATTGCAAGGAAATAATATATATGCAGACTTTGACTTTCTGGGAATTTAAACACTTCAATTAAATCTCATTGCCAGTTAAATCAATTAGCCATCTTTAGAACATATCAGCAGAAGAATGAGGATTTTGTTGTTGGCTGCTCGTGTGCATGTATTTGCTTCAATAACATTTGCCGTATCTAGGTTATCTCTTTTATTTAGAATTGTTTTATACCAAGAGAGATGCTAAAGGTGAGACAAACTGGCAAAGTTTTCTTTCAATTCAAATGAACATAGTTCAGTTTTACTTACGATGATACGATGCCAAAAAATCTTTTGGGTCTGTGATTAGAGGATTACACTGATCTTATCTCAGTTTGTCGCTGGTAAATAGCTTTGGAGGTAAGAAGCATGTTCTGCTGCATCTGGATGGAGCAGATGGTCCGCATTTCCCTTAGTTTCTGGCTTTTCTCCTGTATTAATGAATTGAGTGTGTTGAAAGCAGCATGGCTTATACCATGGGGCTGTTGGAGCTGCTGGTGTTAGCCACTAGCTTGTGTTTTACTTAGTCTTCTATGTAGCTTCTAATTATTGTTGTAATTGTTTTAAATAAACGATCCTCTTTGGTAAGAGAGACATACGTCAATACATCATATGCATGTTTTGTGTCTGTATCTGTAATAAGTGTCCAGTAAGGATTTAGTAAATTAACCTTTTGGTGGTCAAATGCATTGCATAATAGGCAGTCTGTATTTGAAAAACTAAGTGAATTGATGTTATACTGCATTCCTGTAGATGACGGTACAAACTTCATGTATGGTACCTGAAGCCCAGATTTTATCCTTAAGGTGTGTTCTCCCCCCCTTCTGTGTAGCTTTTGCTTTTTTTTTCTTTTAGAAGAAGGGGAAATGATTCATATAATACTGGCATCTGATGATATAAGCATCTGTTAATTGTCTCTTATTTTCAGTTTTGATTTCCATCACATGCATGTGCATGTGTGAATGTACACATGCATGCACATATGTATATTTATCTATCGTCCATCTGATTTTATTTAATCCACCTTCTGGCTTTTGAGTTCAGATAATGATTAAAATTGGAAACTTTATATGATCAGGATGTTTTGTTTGACTTGAGTTCTTCAATAAAGCACGAATTTGAAAACCGTATACAAAATGTTATATAAAAAAGTGTGTATTAAGAACGCTTGGCATAAAATAATCCTGCTGGCTGTCAGAGCATTTTTTCACAGGCTCCCGAGGTGTCCTAGAGATCTGAAATGTCTTACAACTCTCATTTGTTCCTTAGAGTTTGAAGATAATTCTTGCAGATAGCAATTTTCCATGTACTACAGTGTATGTAGGATAATACGTATTTAATTTTGCACACATCTGTATTCCTTAGTTGCTTTCCTTTAACAGCCTGAAACACATCTGTTCTGAAAGTAATCTGGTAACCTAATTTTCATTCATTTGGGTTGGTTGGTTTGTTTTTCTTCCAGAAACTGTTTCTGGAAAGTTTGGAAGCTGTGAGTTTTCCAGTCTGTTTTCAAAAACAAACTGCGTGTCTGATCCAAGGTCATAGGTACAGCACAAACTTTCCACACAGATTGTTTTCTTTATAATAGTTGCACTGTAGTTCCTTTATATATACAGTTGCCAGAAAAGTATACCTTGAGAAGTAACTCTTTTCTGAAGTCGGTGAAATGGTGTCACCTTACACAAATAATTGTTGCTATAAAAAAGTAGAAGGGAACCAAACCCTTTACCCCATAAAGGGTGCACAGCAACCAGCCTACCCACTGAAGGAATGCTGCTGGTGCTCATGAGCTCTAAATGCGGCCGCTGTCCCTTTTTTTTAAAAAAAAAAAATAAAATATAAGCTCTTTATAATTATTGCGTTATGGATCTAAAATGAATGGCCATCCTTAGCTCATGCGCGTCTCTCCTTTATCGTTCCTTGCATCTGTCAAATTTTTCTTCTCACATGTATAGACGTCCTCATTTAAAATGTCTACAGAAGTCTCCTAGGTTGCCTGCCAAGCAGCAAATGTGCCACCCATGTGGGGAGGAAGGAAATGGCAGTCCCAGAGTCTTCAAGCTAGAGTTCTGAAACAAAACAAGAAAAAACAACCCAGAAATGAAATAAATTTGTATAGTTCAGCTAACCAACAGTGACTGCTGTCCCCAGAGGCTCAACCAGCAAAAAGGAGGATGCGCGCTGCTTTGTACCTCTGCGGCTAATTTTGTCTTCGTTATACAGGTGCAAGGCAACAGATAGGGACCGCTAACCCTTCCCTGGCTGCTTCTTTGATCAGACACATTGCTAGTCACAGAAATGAAGGGGTCTCAGAAATCCCTTTCTGCTGGAAATGCTGTATCATCCCAGCAGAGAGAGGAGAAGTGGAGAATCATTAATGCACAAGAGCCAGCGCTGTTGTCTTGGAGAATGGGCGAAGACAGCAGCAGCCGCTCTGGAGGCGGGCTGGGGTTAGCAAATGCCCGAGAGTCTTGGCCACTGGTTAGGAGACCTCAGTTCTCCCTCCGCCCCTGCACCTCCTGTCCCTGTGGGGTGTGTAGGTGGGAACGCGGGTGGAGTTTGGACCCTCAGACTCTGTTACCTCCAGCAAAGCTCAAGTAGAGGAACGTGGTGGCAGAGGAGCAGTGTAGCGATCGTCCTCATGGTATTGCAGATGCCTGGAGAAGGGGTGAACACAAAAGCTGCTTCTAACTCTTAACTTGTCAAGACGTCTCCTGAATAAATCTATTAAGCTATCTTTTGCTCCGAGGGTTGTGAAGACAGCTCTGCTAGGAGTAGCTGACATGGCTGGGTCTCTTAAAGGTTTTAATCTTACTTAAATCTGCTGGAATGTGAGTTGTCTCCTGCCTGAAGTGAGCAGGCTGGCCAGCCGGGGTGACGGGGAGCTCTGTGTGCAGAACTGGCCGGTAATGATCTCCAGCTCCATGATGTTCTTCTGACTGGGGAGGTCTGTCTCTCCTGAGCACATCTCAAATGCAAATACTGAGTGGCTGAATTCTGTTAAATTAATCTCCATAAGTAAAGAAAGGGATGATGATTTATAAATGTCAGATCTGACTGAGTTTTTAATGCCCGTTCCTCAGGATGAGAACTAGGTATTGACAATAGTTTATTTTTTTAAGCATATTTGGGCTTCTTCTAATTTATAAAAAGTTTTCAGTTCTCTATAAATCTAATAGAAAACATTAATTTTCTGTCAATTCAAATATATCAGCTGAAAGATCTACATTGTTTGACATAGCATTTTATTTAGCTCTAATTGAGTAATGGGATTTGAAGGTGAGCTAGGACTGTGAGTGTGACTTGATTGGGTCTGTCTATTTGCATATCTGATTTCTTTTGCTTTCCCTCCATGTACTCCGCTTTTCTGAAATCCAGCACACCAAATAAGATCTCTTGTAAAATGAAGCATCGGATCAAATCAGGACAGTCACTTCACCGTCCTCAAAATTTCAGCCCCACCTTGTTCCACAGAAAGGCTTTTCCTCTCGTTCAGTTTCTTACCCATTATGGGGAAGAAATCTCCCCACACTCTCTGGTACACATGTGTGTATACGGACATGTGTGTGATGGATATCAAGTTCGTAGTTCTCCCCAGCGTAGATGAACAATAGCATCTTCTATTTGGAAGTTCTGAGAGATCTCTGGAGTGCTCTTTGAAGTGCTGACAAGGATCATAGCTGAAGCGAGTGGTATTACTTTCCTACAAAAAGAAGCTTTATCATAGGAGAAGGTTGTGTAACATTTCATAGAAGTGGACAGAGTAGATTTATTCATAATCATTTCCACAAATTTATTCTGGACCCTACTAATAAGAATGCTTTTTTCTGACCCTTATAAATCTCGTATTTACTTATCTTCTGCCCAAAATGTAGCAACTGTGATGTCTTATAAATTAAAATACAATTTTAAATTAAATATTAAAATTAAAATACAATTTGTAAATTAAAATACAATTACGCAGCTGATACCTGATCCATTCAGTAATTTTAAGGGGAGGAAGCAGCTGGGTACCTCCTGGGCAGGCAGGTGAAGGAGGAGCTTCAGGCAACACCAGGAACTTCAAATTTGAGGGGAAAAGGGGCCTGTGGCAAGGTGCCATGGGGATTGAAACCTGGGTTGGTTATTGAGAGGAGGACCTGGGGAAGCTCTGGGCTGGGGTGTGTGAGGTGGGCTTTAGGCCAAAGGACTTACACAGCAGGGGAATCCGAGTTGGCTTTAAGGTTACCCCATTTTCTCCCTTCGTTGAGGCAGTTTTTATTAGGGTACTGAACACACAGAATTCCCCTTGCTCGGTCCTCCGGACTTTCCCTCTCTGCATCTCCTCATCTCTCCATCTCCCTGCTACATCCCATAGTTTTCTGCTGTTTAAAAAAAAAAAAAAAGATATGCCTAACGAGGTACCTTCTGCCCTGAGTCCATCCCTACCTGACCTGGAACGTCTTCTGCAGGTCCTCCCCAGCTGGTGCTGTGCTTTGGACTTGGGCACTAACCTCGCTCCTTTGCCTGCTGTTTGTGTGGGGTTGGAGAAAACGGTAAAACTATGCTTGAAAATGTTAATGGCAAGGAGGGCAGTCGTAGAAGAGGAGCATTAGTGGGGATTTATGGGATCACAGCTTAAAAGGAAGAGGAAAGGGAAAATTTGAGATTAACAGCAAGAAATCTCCTGGGTAGTGAAACTTGTTAGTCAGTGCAATAACTGCTCCATCACTTGGCAAATTTAAAATAAGCCTGGACAAAACACCTTAAAGGACTTCACTCCCCTCCAGCTTGTGTGACTCATGGGCCTTGGGGAATTTTTAGCTCCCTTGGCTGGTTATATGTCTTCCTTCAGACACCTCTGGCTCCTGATGACTTGAGCCAGCAGAGCACTCTGCAGGTGTTTCATAACTGCCAATAGTCCAAGGCATAAAAC